CCGACATCCTCGAAGCTCCCTGGGGAGTAGGAACGGCGTGGCCAGGTCAGCAGGTGGTCATCGGCTCCCCCAAGTTCCCTCATAGTGACTCCACTACCACTTCCCCCAACACCTCCAATGCCACCTTCACCCATCATCACCCCGCCAACATAGACACTAGAGTAAGCCTGGAACTCCGAGGGCTGCCAAGGAGGAGGTGGAGGTTTGCCACCATTGGCCCTCCCTGAATGTCGCTGGTTGGGTTCCCCATCTTCATATTCTGCGTCATAGCCGCAGGTGCTTTCAGTGGAGCGGCCTCTGTACACCGGCCTGGCGCGGAGTTCCCCTGCCACCGTTGCCAGGTTACCTGGGAGGGAATGGAGAGATCTCTTTCGCTCCATCTGCATGGCCTGGCTGCCCAGGGAGCTGATCTTGTCCGAGACTTCACGGTCGTTGACCCTGATCAGCCCCCGATCCTGGTGGAATTCCATGTTAGAGTAGAATGGTGGTGGTGGTGGCGGCAACTGCTTCTCCTGACCCTTCGCTGCCTCCCCAGCAGTGTGAGAGTTGGCCCGTTTGATCCTCTCAAAGTTAGACCTAAGAGCTGCAACGCCTAGTCCCATCCCCAGCTTGTCCTTGGGGTCAGAGGGCAAGTCCTTCTCTGTGGGCGGAACGTTGATCCTGCGGGGAGAGACGGAGATGCCACCGGAGATGGCACCTCTCTGCTTAGAGGGCGAGAGGCCATCTAGGTTGTCACAAGAAGTGGACTCAGCCTGCGGGGGAACCTCGAAGGCGGACTCCAGGCCGTCTCCGTGGGAGGCCGACTTCCTGGCTGGTGGAGGCCTAGGTTTGGACCTTCCAGTCCCATCTGCGGTAGGCTGATAACGGATCCTATCAACACTGCCACAACCATACACTCCACCAACAACTGCTACTCCAACTCCACCAGTCTCCTGCATGTGTGGCTGCTGGGACTGGCACTCTGCGCCCTGTGCGGCTGCAGGGTCCATCCCCTCACCCAGGGGGGTCTTTCTGAAGCCCCACCGCTGCTTGTCATAGCTTTTCCTCTCTTTAGCCAGGAGGGTCTGCAGGTAGATCATGCGGAAGCGCTCCTTGTTCACCTCCTGCTCCAGGCGTCTGATGGACGCTTTGCACCTCTCCAGCTCATGCTCGATGCCACCAACTGATCGCAGCTCCATTTTGGGGGGGTCGGACTCTGGGAATTGCGCTTTCCACGCCTCGGTGAATCCCACCGGCTCCACCATATTGTGCCTGATTTATTACTGTGACGGACCCCGGTTCACACACACCGAGGGATTCAAGCAATGGCAGCTCTTGTCTTTTTTCTTTAGTCCAGTTCGCTACTGACTGCTTATCGACAACAATGGCCACTTAAAGTGACGATGTTTAAAACAGGCCTTTAGGTAACCCGTGCAGAAACACACTGCCTAATTGCTGACACTTGTCGTGTGCTGCGCATATACAATAAATCCCATTCTGAACAAGAGAAACCGGCTGTTCAGCCAGAGCAAGAGCTGGGAATGTGTGGGGCATAAAAAGGAACAAAAAGCTGCAATAACGCGCGTCTTTCTCATGCATTATTACGAGAAAATACACTTTTAGAAGATCAATCTCAGCCTCGACACAATGACAGCATCTGTCCTCGCGGGGTGACACTGGGATCTGGCTCCCAGGGAGAGAGGAAAAAATAAGAAAGTGGTTTAATCCTGCGAGGTTTACTCACTATCTACTATTACGGGTTTGTTAGTGATAGCAGGTCCGATCACTCTCACTCCATGCATACGGCAGTGATCCCAGGTGCTGCTCCACACCAAGAGCCTTTGTACCAGCAGCGCTCAAGGAGAAAGGATAAAAAGCGCAAAACCCAAGCGACGACAACATCTGAGTTTCTCACGGGATGCGATCAAGCGGCGTGGTCCGGTTTATGGACTGTTTCGTTAGACCATGGTTTTAACACGGTGCCTATGTGGTCTCGTTGTTTTCCCCCCCAGTTGTTTTCCAGGTTTATCCCGTTTCTTCGGCAGTGATGGTGCCGCTGTGTGTGCGCTCGCATCTCAGGCAGCAGCACTGAGGGGCTGCAGGAGTGGGAGGGGCCAGAGAGAGCTGCTGTTAAAGAGACAGAGCAGGGCCAGGCAGCCCCCCACTCATTATTAGTTTATTTTATGAATATGATATTAGAATATTAAAAATAGGCATTTTGTATCAGCACCTGGCATTTTTTTGTATCTTTGTTTGGGGTCACATAGTAGCCTATATCATTTTGTTCAGTTGACAGTTCAATCTTTTTGAGTGATACAGAAATAGTAAAACAACCAACGCCAATAAACAGGTAAATAAACAAGCATAAACACACACAAAAAGAATAAGAACAAAAATAATGTTTTTCTGTGTTAAGGAAATATAAGGGAAAAAAAGCAGAGATTATACAAAAGCACGAACAAACAAGGGATGGCCGTCTCTGTAAAATAGATAATGATTCCACACTGTATTGTTTTGTCATGTCGCACATTTATAAAGTAATAATGTATCACTCGTTTTAACATCTCCTTTCAAATGTGTCAGGAAGCATTAAGCTATACCTCTCCCAATACTCCAATCTTACAGGTTTTAGTAGCAATTAATAATAAGAATAACATGCAGGATATGATACCTGCTGGGCTCCTTTAAGATAGTGGCAGTAGGTCTACCTGTAAAGCAGGTGTTACAGAGCACGTAGCAGTGCTGCTGTGTTATATTTAACGTAACACTGCCACCTAGTGGAGAGATATCATGCATGCAGGGTTAATCAGATTCCAGAAGTCAGAAGCTAAAAAATATCGTTGCAATGTTTGTAATTATTTACATAAATCAATCTATAAATAACCCGAAATTTGATTAAATATAGACATTTTGGGATTTATTTTTCAAATATTGTAAACACAGATACTTCGAGTAAATAACATAACGTTTTTTATGCAAATTGAGAAGAGTTTTGCATATTCAGCATTACCAGAGCGGTAAATTCAAATTACTCTAACAAAACAGTTCTTGCACAAGCTAGAGGTATACTGTGTGTATTTAACATTCTGCTGTTAGGGACATTAGGCTCTATCACAGGCCTCATGGGTAATTTTGCTCATTGAACTGATAGTAATTCATGTAATTTTATAAGAGAAACACATAGGCTATGCAATAAATCAAAATGACACAATTCAAATACTATATCGTTTTATTTACCTGAAACCACAACCTCAGTAATGCATGTACAACCATTATTAGTCAATAATCAATAATGATCGTCTTTTTACATATGGTTAATGTTCTTTGACTAGGTGTCACTGAGGGGAAAGCCCCCTCTCAATAAATCACAGTTTTACAGCAGTTGATAAAGATACATGATGACAGTAATAATAGTTATAACGCAGAGGCATAAGAAAACAGGAGAACACTGTTGTATTGCAGGATTGCCAATGAATTGTTCTCATGGCAAATGATCACTTCATTACAAAGTAAATGGGTCAGTTATTGGCCCTTAGTAATTGTAAGGAAAATTAAGTAAAAAAGAAAAAGTAGCGCAGAGTCAAGTTCATCATGAGTAATTTCTCAATTTCTAGTGTTGTGCAAATTACCCCAACCGTTACAATAAAAACAGTGATTTACATATCTATGATATATCCATCTTAAAACCCTCTTAATGTCTTTATTTGAATATTATACATTATAATCTATAAATACAAATTGCAAAGCCTACATACAGCTGAAACACATGCATGGATGTTTTTTACACTGATGTATAGCTAAGACCGTTTGACCCAGTGTTTTAAAAGATTCTCTACGTGACAAGCTACCATGGAATTTTGGAAACGAGTTTGTCATGCAAGAAGGAATGCTGAGGGTGTTAAACTTCCCTGCACACAAATGGAATAGTGTCATGTTTATATAGCCTCTGCACAGAGGTATACGAATGTTAAGAAGTGTGTGTGTGTTGTGGTGCCAAGGGAATTCTGTTTCCAACCACTTTTAAGTATACCTTTATGGATTTGGTCTTATTACTATGGAAAACTTGTCCTTTTTGTCAGTGCAAAGGTACACACACTGCTGGTCATCATGGTGTCAGAGGTGTGTGAAGGTAAGAGTGAGCAGCACACAGGCTGGACAGGAGGACGACGCCAGACTCTGAGCCCACTCTTTAGAAATGATCCCAGTTTTTATGAGAGCCAACCTAAAAAGGGAGAGAAAACTACATTAGTACAAAGCACTTCAAAATTCCATGACCAGTTTAATTCATTCTGTGACTATAGTGTGAATATAGGCAAGTGACAGAGCGGTGAAAAGTACAGCACACAGCAACATTTCCAAAAGTGGCATGTGGTCAACGCATTATACATATTTAATTGTTTAAACTTGCCATAATCACTCCCTTGCATACTTTTAAAGGGTAGAATCACTTTTTAAAACTCCTTTATCTAGTCTACAAGTTACCCAGAAAACATTTCCCAGGATTCTTCTCAATTTAATGGTTACTCTGGGAAAAAAGTCTCCGTTGCCCTATCGTTTCATTAGATTCTACTGCAGTGAATGTGTATTTAGTAGAGTGTGAAGAAAGCAAACGGATACTCACTCTAGTGACAGGGGAGCCAATGGAAGGCATTGAGGAAGAAAAGCACACGGTTGTTAAGTGGAACACAAACACACACACGGTGCGGACAAACCCAGGCTTCTACCTTGTAAGACATGCTTTAGATGAGGCAAAACAAAACATGATCTAAATGTTAGTGCAGTCGACTGAATGGGCTCGGATACAGCATCACAGAGCAGCACAAACTAAAACCTCCAGATATTAAAGCCTTTAAGAGTCAAATATTTAAGATTGTCTCCTGCCGGTCATGTTGTGCCAAGGACACTGAAGCATTCATATGTCTGAAATGGTTTGTATTCAAGTATTATATGCACATACACAACAAAAAAACACCGGATATGAAAACCACGAAGTCAATGGATTAAATAAAGACAGAGCACACTTTGATTCAAAGGGTTTATGAGTGTATATTTCCTTAAAGTAAAAAACAACATTTTGGGTTCTTGCAATCCAAGTTCATTTGGAGTACTTTCTGCATTAGTATTTTTTTTGTCTTAGGATTTGAACATTACTGTCCTTTGAATCAAACGCCATGAGATGGTAAATAACATCATCCCCTCTCAGTTCTGTCTCCGAAGCAAAACACAAATAAAGTTAATGAACGTCAGAAATCAGTACAAACAAAATATATCCTTAAAAATGTTAAAGGGGAAGGAAATGTTTTGTTCTTCGTTTTTTGCACAAGCAAATAGGGGCACACCTCAGATGTTACGCTTTAGCAAAACCCTGTAGGGAAAAGCATCTCGAGATGAGCAAAACAAAGAGATTATTGTTATCACATTGAGGTAGCTGTGCTCTGCCCAGTGCAGAAAAACTGGCTTGTTTTCAAATCATTATAGTAAAAAAAAGTACATCCATGAGGTTAATTTAAACTCTACCATGGGGGGGGGGGGACATTCACAATTAAATTAGAAATGAGAAACCACATACAGTTCATGCTTGGTCACAAGACATGCAGCGTTTTTGTTTTCAAATATTTTTTTTTTCTTTTTGTTAAAGCGGAGCAATCGAACGTTTACTCCCAAACCTTTCCCCGTCCGCCACACGGAGCTTGTCCTCTCTGAAAGAGTTCCGAGTTGATATACTGAAGACACAATGGTAAACGTGAACATAAATGAAGGCGCCAAGTCAAAGCCACAGTGGTCGAACAATTGACGAAGCCATAAAAAAAGTTGCATAAAATTCTATCTCTGTACAGATGATGGATTTCTTAACTTTCTATTCAAGAAGAGAGAAGCTAAACATAACTGTTACTGTAGTGACATAGGACAACTGATACTCCCAGAATAGTAAATATAAACCTTAAAGGCAATATTGAAAATAATAATAATAATAAAATAACTGTCAACAGTATATTTTTCTTACAGACAAGCAACAAAGTCCACAGCTACGGGAGTGGTGATTTTCTTACACTCGCATTTAAAGCCTCACCCGTTCAAATATCCTATCCTAACGCTAACCAGGTGTCTTCTCGGTTCACATTTTATATTATCCATTACGTTTTATGTTGGTCCTTCTCGCTCACAGGTGGTAGGCAGGCACGCACTAGTACACACGCTAACTCTACAAACACGCTCACACGCAAGCTATGCACACACGTAGGAAGGCAGAGAGGGGAGAGGGCAGAGGGAGGTGATGGCGGTGAGGGGCGGGGGAGGAAAATGGGAAAAAGTCGAGATTGTGCTCAAGTCAGTCAGGACCAGAACATGTCGGCCATGTTAGTGTCGGTGCTGTAGATCCAGCCCACCAGGGGGATGGTAAGGGCCACAAAGGGCCAGGAGATGCCCTCCAAGCATGCAGGCAGGCAGCAGCCTTTGGAGCCGGCCGGCTTCTCCAGCTCTTTACCGGGCTCCATGTAGTTCCTGGCGGCGAACTTGAGGAACTCGTCAAGTAGGATGACAGGCAGGGAGATCTTAAGCACCACCAGCCATTGGGTCATATTCAGAGGGGTGATCTGGAAGATCATCTGAAAAGAAGACGGAGGAGGAGACAAAGGTCACGGTGTGGTTCAGTGGATCACTATTTGAAATAATGACATGTCATCGCTACGTCATGGGTAAGTGTCTAATGAAAAGAAATGTTTCTCACTGGAAGAGGCTCCACGTGGAGGATGAGGAAGTGAAGGGACATGGAGAGGCAGATGGCTCCCAGCAGCCACACGTTCTCCCAGGGAGGCATCCTCACCAGGGACTGGTTCTCTGACACGCTGAGAACGAAACAAGGGAGCACGTTTGTTAAAAACTCAATCTGACTTCAGAGCCAGCACACTTAAAGATCTCCTATCATGCTATTTTTAGGCATATATTATATTATGAGAAAGTAAAACAAAATGGCCAGCACTATATACAAATGGAACAATTGTTATTATAAATTTGTTTTACTTCAAAACACAATCATTCTGAACATGTCCATCTTGCTTATTTGTCAGTAGTAAAAGCTGGCAGAATGCCTTGCTCAAACTAACCTGTTCAGGGCATTGCACATCTCTATGGTGACCAGCACAGACAGGGCCATGGTCATGGGGTAAGGAGACTCAAACACCTTACAGTCCAGATCTGTGAACTCTGGATTCTCTGGGCCACACTGCAGGAAGTGGCTCTAAAGGAAGTCAAAGGAGAATATAGATTAAAGCAGGAAATGACATTAGGTTGGTGTGTTGAAGTGTGCATTGTTAGCAAGATGGTAGCGGTTTGGCTGTTATTCCTACCAGCTGGTAAAAGGTGATCCTTGGTCCATCCTCAGCAGCAACAAACCACCAGGCAGCAGCACCCACAGTGCCAGCACCCACATAACCTGGGGACCAGAAAGACGTCACTCACTCACACACAATGACGCAAATGCCGGTCACTTAAATACAAGACGAAGGCAAACTGCAATTAGATGCGACCTATTCTGTGACTACCTGCATAAACTCTACTTTTACAATGTGCCATTGCGGCAGATTTTTAGCAAGTTAATTGATAGCTTGTGCATTAATACAACAGGCTGTTCTAGTGTACTATTGCCTGTTGATGGCTAATGCTTCTGAAGTGTTTTACCACCACTTATGTACACACATTAGAAGCTTAAATACCAGTTCATATTTACTACATTTTCCAAATACTCAAGTTAAAGTTAACAAAGACAAAAAGGCCTTGCAATGAAGAAACGGGGGGGATATTTTTTGGCTGAAAATGTCACACTAGAAATTGACAATGAACAATAACATCTGACAAAGGACTACGTTTAAATGGACAATTATCCCTACACATATGGTAACCACTTACATCCAATGGTGAGGTATCTGAAGAAGAGCCATCCTGAGATGAGGGGCTCGCGGGCGTTGCGGGGGGGCTTGGTCATGATGTCCAGGTCCGGTGGGTTGAATCCTAGAGCGGTGGCGGGCAGACCGTCGGTCACCAGGTTGACCCAGAGCAGCTGCACCGGGATGAGGGCTTCAGGGAATCCCAGCGCCGCGGTCAGGAAGATGCTACACACAAGAGAAGCAGAATTATCTGATGTTATGGTATATTGTGTACAAGGTATATAAAAAGGTAAACGGTAAACTAGTTATCCTTACCAGACAACTTCGCCCACATTGGAAGAGATGAGGTATCTGATGAACTGCTTCATGTTGTTGTAAATGGCTCTGCCTTCCTCCACTGCAGCGACGATGGTGGAGAAGTTGTCGTCAGCCAGCACCATCTCTGACGCGCTCTTGGCAACAGCCGTGCCTGAACCCATGGCAATACCGATTTCAGCCTTCTTTAGAGCAGGGGCGTCGTTCACTCCATCACCAGTCTGAAGGGAGAGTGAGAACAAGTGTGAAGAACTAGTTGACAGTGTATCATTAATGTTTCACTAGGAAATCATTGATTTCATTTCAAGATGTTATTTTGAGAGGACATCTTGCATATTTAAAAAGGGAATAAACTAAGACATGTTAGATAAGGCGGCTTACCATAGCTGTGATCTCATCATAGGACTGCAGGTACTCGATAATCTTGGATTTATGTGAAGGCTCCACACGGGCATAGCAGCGTGTCTTCAGCACAGCTTCTCTCTGTGCAGCGGGCGACAGGTCGTCGAACTCTCGGCCGGTGAACGCCATGCTGGAAACATCGTCGTTCTCTCCGAAGATGCCAATGCGTCTGCAGATAGCCACGGCCGTCCCTAAGGTACAAAGGAGAACACGTTCATTTCTTAGCGCTGCATGGGATGCAAGTGAGTATTCAGAACTAGATGATTTCCCTTGTGTCTTTAGTGGTTTTCATGCTCGTACGGCAAGGGAAGTTATTAACAAAGTCAATCTTCTCTCAGTAAATGTGACTTTCTCCACGTACCCTTGTTGTCTCCAGTGATCATAATGACTCTGATGCCTGCGAGGCGGCAGAGTCTGATGGAGGCTGCCACCTCCGTCCTGGGAGGATCCAGCATGCCCACACAGCCAACAAAGGTCAGGTCAGTCTGCACGATAACAGAAAAGGGAAACAATGTCACACCTGAGAAGGAACCTAGACACCAGAAGCTTTGGGAGAGTAATATAAATCCGTCTCAGCTCTCACCTCATAGTCAACAAAGCGGGCGGAGTCCTCCAACTTCATCTCCTCTCTGACCAAGCGGTGGTCTCGGGTAGCGAGAGCCAGACAGCGCAGAGTGTCTCTGCCGCTTCCATACTCCTTGATCACTGACAACACTTTTTCCTTGATGCCAGGGGTCAAGGGCACCTTGTCACTGCCCACACGGATGTGCGTACACCTGTCAATCAATCCCTCAGGGGCCCCCTATGAGCAGGGAAGGACAGGAGGATGAGGAAACACAAGGGAAATGACAAAACAGTATATAAGAGAAACACTTTCATTAAAACGCTTTTTATAGTCTTAGGACAATGATTCACTCGAGTCATAATTATGGTGCTTTCAAGTTAACAAAAAAGGATATCATTGAATGGCATTAATAGACTTGGAGAAAGCCGATACTCCAGGAGTGTTATAGTTGCAATGTTACTAAATCTTACCTTTACAAACATCTTGCCAACAGAGGATCGGGCCTTATTTGCAGTGCAGTACACAGACATGGACTTCCTGTCTCTGGAGAATTCCAGCGTAAACTCTTTCTTCATCAGCTGCTTGATCACCTAAAGATTTGATCAAACAGTTTGTTAGCATTTCTGCATTCAGTTTGTTTTGTCACCGTTTGAATCAAGTACAATTAAATCATGGAGTTTCGGTTGCAAGGAAACAGCTTTCAAGAACGGAGGGCAACGTACAGAGTTACAGGCGTTGGCTCTCTCGATCTTTGACAGGCCTTTGACATCCGTATCGAACACGTTCATCTTCTCCACCAGGCACGTGAGAGCCGTCTCTGTGGCCTCGCCCACCTTCTCAAACACCCCTTTGTTCTGGACACAAAGAGAAAAAGAAAATCATATGGTTCATCAGAAAAAGTCACTGAAAAGATCTAAGGCACTATGTACCAAAGTCACATGAGCCGCTTTCACACCAAGTACTTTGCCGCACTTAGTTCCCAGCACTTAGTTCCCAGCACTTAGTTCCCAGCACTTAGTTCCCAGCACTTAGTTCCCAGCACTTAGTTCCCGGCACTTAGTCCCCCCCATGGAACTAAAGAGCCGATCGTGTTCACACCGGAATAAGCCTTCCGAGTAAATCGCCAGAACGCCGACACCTCCTCATCTCCACCGCTCCCATGTTTTTTTTTGTGTTGCCATAAGTTAGTCTCTCTCCGTTGGTGCGCGGGGCTACGGCTTCACAAAACTTTTCAGAGTTTTACGGGGCGTGGTTTGCAATCCGCCCAGCCAATCAGAAATCGGAACTTTTTTCTCCCCAGGAAAGTTCTCATGAACTAAGTTCTCTTTTTGGTGTGAACGCAAAATCCCAGGAACTATCGGAACTAAAAGGGAAAAGTACTCCGGTGTGAAAGTGCCTATTGGATCTAAAGAATAAAGGGAAAAGAAAATCACGACTAACCTCATTATAGTCCAGTGAGGAATCGTTACACAGAGCACAGATAGAGGCCAGCTCTACCAAGGCATCATACTGGGAGGATTTGACTTGTTTGCCATCAAGGAACCTAAACAAAAGCCAATAAGTGAGACAATTGTGCAGATTTCATTAATAAAGCATTTTGTAGTTTAAGTATGAAACAATACATTCATGTTAGCCTTCACTTTTATGAACCAATTTCAAGTAGAATGGATTTTTGGGGATTTGCATGCATTATTAAACTCTCAGAGCACACATGCATATGAAAAGGAATACTCACACTTCTCCCTCCGGGGCATATGTCGAGCCAGTGATAGTGAATTCCTTTAGCGAACAGCTATCACCCTCTACCTGATCAACGATGAACATCTAGAAACACAAACGTTGTAGAGACATACAATTAGTACGTGGTATTCCCACAAAGTATTGTTGCCCGAATCAGGGTTGTAACGATGTCTTTTTGCCACAGTATATACACTGTATTGTAAATTAGGGCTGTGCAATTAATCGTATTTTAATCTCGATTACGATTTTGGCTTGCAACGATTACGAAAACAACGTAATCGAAATAAAACCATTATTATTTTTATTAAAAAAAAGGAAAAACATTTGTATTGGTTTTTCAGTTGAATCATACTTAAAGTTCAGGGCAATCAACTGTTACAAATATACTGTTCACATTTCTTTTTTCCATAAATGGATGTTTTCAAAGTAAATGGATAATCGTGATATCAATTATTGACCAAAAATAACCGTGATTATGATTTTTGCCATAATCGAGCCGCCCTAGTAAATGATTTAGGAATTTAGATGTGGGGTTCTGATGGACCAGCAGGTGGCAGCGTACTACCATCCACAGGAAATAAGACATAAGATGCTTGAACAAGAGCAGAGTCAAATAATAAAATGCTGAGCCAAAGCAGACACTGAGCTCTCTGGTGGGAACTGCCTCCATAAATGTCATCTTACAGCGAGACGGACACAAGACTCCTCTGTGTGCAGACACACAACAGGAACAGTGTATGAAGTGAATCATTCCTAGGCGGAAATCATTTGACCTTGAGGATCCAAACCTGGGTAAGAACACCGGCAATAGGTCTATTCAGGATCTTCATTTCATCTTTTCTTTAAATTGAAATAGCATGGGGGAACAGAATTATTATCCACCAGGAAGAAAGAAAACGGCACACACCACTAATACCGTCTTCGCTATCCAAATATAAGAGGTGGTTTTTTCATCAACTGATGACGTAAACAAACACACAAGGTCTTGAGTCAGACAACACTCAAGCTGCTAATATAGTTGCACACATGGATAGATAACACGTTCTTTCTATCGAAGCACCAACACCCAGAGGTGCAGGACAGAAATACATGATGAGGGATGGAAACTGGAATCTCTGAATAAAATGATCATCTGGCATTATGTGTGCACTTAGGCAGCGTCGAGACAACAGAGAGCAGTGACGTCAATGGCGATCCGACACTTAACAAAGAAAGGAATTGAACGTGAAGGAGGAACATTGAGTCACTGAGGGCACCGCATTTTAGTTCAGCTCTATTAAGACACGAGTGGTTTGCATGCGTCAAGCTTCTCCGTCACCGACTATCAAATAGCCAGAAATAGCATCCGTTAGTTTCAAAATGAAGCCTTTTAAATTTGCTTAACATAATGTCGACTATAAGAAAATTGTGCAGGATGAGCAAGGGAAGAGGACATCTTTCAACACAAGGTCACTTATGCAACTCTACTGCTGGTTCTGCTGCAAGTGAGTAACTACTGCATACTGATCAGCATGCTGCCTGAAAGAGAAGGGGGAGGAGGGAGGAGGGAGGAGAGAGGAGGGAAGAAGGAGGGAAACAGAAGAGCGGCGAGATAGCGGGCTGAGGAAGAGCACTGAGGAAGATGGAGACGCAGGGCAGGAGGAAACACAAAGTCACACAATGAGCTGATAACGTACTAAAGGGGAACATGTATACACGTATCAATTTGCATCGCTGCCCGTGTATAACTAGATCATATTTTTCCATTATTAGCCATATAGCGTCAGCAGTGCCTGGCGCTCAGTAAATCCCTACTGTCATTAAAAGGCCGTCGAGGCTGCTTTATTTCTCAGTAAAAGGTTTATAACTTAGCTTACCATTGCTCTGTCCATGTAAGGCAACTGTTTTCACTTATTTTCGGCCTTTTTTCCAATTGGTTTACATTTCCTATGCATAGCAGGCCTTTTCATCGTACTGTTGTCATGGTGAAGATGTACACAGACATACATTAGCTTCAGCGAGCCATCTTTATGCCGTACCAAGATGCGCTGAACAACTTGAATAACTATTGTGGTTTTATTCTGATTTTTGGTACCTCGGAAAATCGTTAAGAGATTGGTCCATAACATGTGAGGAGACAACGCTTTAAGGAGACAAATAAAATAGTGTAATCCAACTCCAAAGGGTACACTGCGACTGTAGTTTAATTTTGTTGTGTCACTTAAATATGTTCCCTGATGCAATCCTTTCCTAATTTCACTTCTCCAACCAGTTATTCCAATACACCTCTCCAGTGAGACATATTGAGACTGTGCTGTCACCGAGTGCTTATTCAACATCATTTAGTGGTAGGGATTTTAGCCAGGAGGAGCATGGAGGGATTATTATGACTGTCGCTCTACAAGTATTGCCATCTGATAATTGGTCATTTCTTTAATGATAAAATACTTTTGCTGTCCTTATATAGTGTGAACTCATTAGTAGCCTAGTCGGGCACTCAAACCTGTTGACACTCTGAAGTGCATGGTTACACTGGTTACTATGAAACCAGTGTAAAGGTTGAAAGATAAGCTAACAATGTCAACATTTTCAGTGAACCGAGCTGACAGGTGAAGGTTAATGAGCCGATTTACATGGCAACAAATAGCCTGTGAGGTGAAAAACGGCAATAATTGACTTACTGTAAGATCTACAATTCAGGGTTAAACAAAGTGCTTAGAAATATTTAACATACTCCATTAAACTAGATAAACATTGCATTTTCAAACTCCAAACAGCCAGGTACAATTTGATTAGATTCTCTATAAAAAGGTTATATGTGAGAAATTCACAATCGAGCTTTTGCTGACTTTTTCTCCTCTCTCCCCGTTCACTCTCTTACCCTGCACACGGACATCTGATTGGTGGTCAGCGTGCCGGTCTTGTCAGAGCAGATGACAGATGTACAGCCAAGGGTCTCTACAGACGGCAAACTGCGGACAATGGCATTCTTCTTGGCCATGCGCCGAGTTCCCAAAGCCAGGCAAGTAGTGATGACAGCAGGTAGACCTGAGAGGAGCAGCAACAGAACCACGGAGAAAGAGAGGATTAAGACAAACATGAGTGGAGATAAGCTGTTAGAGAAAGACTTCCTGTATCAAGTATTAAATATAAGCATTTAAAAGTAGGATTTTTGAACAAAATGTTCCTGAAGTCTGAATAATGGCACATCATTGAAGGCTCTCAAAGCAACGAGTGTGTGTGTGTGTGTGTGTGTGTGTGTGTGTGTGTGTGTGTCTGAGCGTGTGTGTCTGAGCGTGTGTGTGTGTGTCTGAGCGTGTGTGTGTCTGAGCGTGTGTGTGTCTGAGCGTGTGTGTGTCTGAGCGTGTGTGTGTGTCTGAGCGTGTGTGTGGCTGAGCGTGTGTGTGTCTGAGCGTGTGTGTGTCTGAGCGTGTGTGTGTCTGAGCGTGTGTGTGTCTGAGCGTGTGTGTGTGTGTGTGTGTGTGTGTGTCCAGTTTACCCTCTGGGATTGCAGCAACTGCCAGAGCCACAGCGATCTTGAAGTAGTAAACGGCACCTCGGATCCAGGAGCCTCCATGGACCGGGTCGTTGAAATGTCCAATATTGATGAGCCACACAGCGATGCAGATTAGCGTAATGACCTTAAAAATCATAATAGCAACAATTACGCGTAACTCAAATACAATGATACAGAAATAGCAGAGGTTGTTCGAGAGAGTTCATAAATTACCTTGGATAGTTGCTGTCCGAACTCGTCCAGTTTCTGCTGCAGCGGCGTGCGCTCCTGCTCCGTTGCTGCCATCTCATCTCGGATTTTGCCGATCTCTGTGCTGCCCCCTGTGGCCACCACCACACCCACAGCCTTACCAGATGAAATGTTGGTGCCCTGTGGAGGAGGCGGCAGAAAACAAAACGTATTATTAAACGGAAAAGCTTCTGGGGGTAAAACTGGTCTGACTGCTAAGCCATGTGTCACAAAGACACAGCGAGGAGGTTCAGGGAGCAGCAAGTGTCAACATGTCGATACATTTCACTCCTAAACAAATCTAAGTAACCATGGGAGCTGCCATGGAAGTAAATGTTTCTTTTGTAGATGAATGCACACTGAAGCTGTTTGGACTGGCACTGTTATGTTGTCGAATGCAAGAGACTGAAAGCCACAATATAAAAGGGCTAATTCCGTATGTTCCAAAAAAGACACAAGATTTTTTTTGGAATAGAAAAATGGATGTGAAGAGGGATAAAAAAGCTTTCAAGAGGATGAGTAGGAGGATGACAGCAGGACATTGTTCCTTTGTATAGGTGTAGTTAAGATAAAAACGGGTAACAATACTAAGCAGACTTAAATGGTCTTGTGGGTCACTCACAGAGAAGAGCATGTTCTTTTTGTCCTGGTTGACGGCACGCGGGTCTGGCACAGGGTCGGTGTGTTTGATCACAGACACAGACTCTCCTGCAGGAAGTGGAAACAGAGCATGTGAGTGAGGGGAGCGGAGAGAGGGGAAAGTGGAGGCTGTGATGCTTGGTTGACACATTGGGCAGATGTGTGTGGAAAAGGCTTTGCAGCTGACTGAGCAGGCCTGACAATCGCTGCAATGCCACTGCCTTTCAAAGCCCATATGTGATGTGTGTAAATAACGGGGCTGCACTTGTCCTAATGCCGTAAGTAAGGGAGCATTTGACAAGCTGCAACGCCATGAATGGGGGAGGAAAGAGGGGAGAAAATAGCTGCAACACTCAAATATCCCGTGGAATTTGCTACCAATTAAGGCAGCATAGGAAGAGGAGCCACTTAAGGACTCGATTCACATAAACCCTTTTCTCTCATGCATTCTCCATCTCTCCCCTTCTAATCCTTTCCATCTGCACTGCTCTCTAATTAGCCATCTACAACTTCATTTATTTAATTTTCCTCATCCATATCACACTCCCTTCCTTTAGCTTCGTCACTGCCTGAGCAGCCATGACAACAGGGGGTAATGAGGCCATGCGCATCAAAAGGAAGAGGAAATGGCTTATTCTTGTTTAGTGTCTGGGTTGATCACAAGAGGCGAGTCGGTGGCAGAGGGAGGCGGAGAAATGATACCAAGGAAATGCATGTTTTTGTATTTTCAAGCTAGATGGGTCACATGTGAAATGTTTAAATACATGTATGTGTAAAATGGAGAATCACAGAAGAGACAAAAAGGAAATGGTTTTACCTGTAAGAATTGATTGGTCTACCCTCAGTGTTGTTGACTTGATGGAGCAGAGCCTGATGTCTGCGGGCACTTTATCTCCAACTGTGGACAGAAACAAAGCAAACGAGACATTAAAGGAGCTCTTTACAAGTTAAAGGGATCTGTAAATGCTATGACGACAGGTGGGTGGGTCCTTTGTCAAATACAGGCCATAAAAGCAGATGACTTGAGATTTGATCAAATACTGTATTCAGCCAGTTGAGTAAATGCTCTACATGTAAAAAGACACCTCCTAAATTAGACCATCTTCTCATGAAAGAGAAAACACTTTGAAATAAACCAAATGAACAAACAAAAGTCGCATAGAATTATTAATGTTCCACTCATCTCATGACACAAATAGATTGCTGCTCATTCTTTCCACTTACACATGGCTTTAGCAATCTCTAGTTAAAGGTGGGGTAGGTAATTTTGGAGAAACCAGCTCGAGCGAAAATACACACACAGCCGAGCCGGCTAAAATGATTGGTCGTGCTTTTTACAGCACCACGGCTTCCAGATGACTTTTTTTTTAATGGATGTTTTGTCAAAGCACTTCAGATATTCATTGCTATCGGGACGTTAAGAGCATTCCATGGAATATAACAAGTGTATCTCGAGCCGTTTCTCAAACTTACCTACTCCACCTTTAAACCAATGTAAATATACGACAAAGTCCAAACAAGTGTTTCCTCTGCAGAACGCAGATAAGTGCTTTTAAAGCCACCGAAGATTATTAGCTTTGCTTAAAACAGTATCAAACAGCTTTAATTCTTCTGTCTCATTTCACACGCGGTTTGGGTCTGAACCTGGGTCTGAACCTGGGTCTGAACCTGGGTCTGAACCGGGTCTGAACCTGGGTCTGAACCTGGGTCTGAACCTGGGTCTGAACCTGGGTCTGAACCGGGTCTGAACCTGGGTCTGAACCTGGGTCTGAACCTGGGTCTGAACCGGGTCTGAACCTGGGTCTGAACCGGCAGATACAAAGTGTTGATAATTAACTTCAAGGCTTTGATTGTAGAAACAAATATTTAAAATGTTTGCCATTCGTATACTTATCTGCTTTCAAGGGATAGTTTAAGATTTAAAGCCTTCTATGAAATGGGGGTGGAAATATCAACAAGTGATGTATTATGTCTTGATAGGTCAGATCTATGATGAAGAAGAAACAATATAACCTGAGAAGATTATCCTAGAAGTACATTAAAGTGTCAGAACTATTATGTTCCTGTATATAACTGTGCTATTACACTAACTATGGGCCAAGCAAGGTGGCAGTCACGCCAAATCAAGCGGTCCAAGATTTCCCGCAAGTTTGTGGGGACGGTGTGTCTGACGTCAGGCTGTGAACTTTGTTGCACAAAAAAGTTTGACATCAGATCGTTTTTATGATCTCATTGAATGCAACTACATTTATTTCACAGCAGCCAGACAAGAACATATGTTGGGACTGGGCCTTGGGCTGGAGCTTGTTTCAGAAAACACAGCATCAAATTCCCCATGAATTGGTCCAATGAGCATCAATGTCACCAGCTCTTACACAGAGCGAGGGGTAAGTGCTTGCGTTTAGTTTGTACCCTTACTTTCTTAAACTAAACAGTTTCTTCTGGCACTTTCCGAGAAAGTAGTCCAACTTAAAGGTAGGGTAGGTAATTCACTTCAGAAACACTTTGTTATATTCCATGGAATGCATCCAGATGAATGAATAAATTAATGTAAATTAAATGCTTTGAAAACAAATATATACAAATATTTCATCTGTGGAAGCCGTGGCGCTGTAAAAAGCACGACCAGTTATCTGCCTCGGCCCGCGGCAGGTAACTGGACGGCCTACCTGCCCGTCAGCCTTCCATCTCGTGCACAAACTTATCTCGTGCCCTCATTGGTCATGTGCGCGTTCGTGTGTGTTGGAGGAGGGGCTCTGTAAGGAAGTCTGAAGGAAGGGACAGGTTTTTTTCGGTTGTGTACTTTCAAATTCTAGCGCACTAGCTGGATTCTCCATTCTTACCTACCCTACCTTTAAGTCATTTTTTTCCAGGAGCCTGCTGCGGCATATTCGCCACACCGCCTGATTTGGCTTGCATGATGCTGCAGAAGGGTCCCCATGGCACGTTTTATTAAAATCCAAACATCACATTGAAGAATGCCACTGCTGCACCAAGGTTAAATCTGGCTTTTAGCTTGCAGTAAGACAAAACACAGCTTGACAGGGTGAAACGGTAAGAGCAATACAAAAACAAATAACCCAGAGGCTCTTAAGGGACCTCTGTGTGGACAGTAGAGAGCGGTGACAGTCATGTAAACCAAACCTCGGGCCTCTGCAGTGCCCTTCTGAGTGGAGAGGAGAAGAGGGGGGAAGGAGGAGAGAATGGGAAGGGGGATTAGATGAGTCCTGCGAAACGCACGTCCAAAAATGGGAAAACTATTTTGATCAGTTTGCAAACATGTGCTGCTGGATCTGGGGGAGGGGAAATTATAAAAACTTCAGCTTTAAGCAAGGAGAACCCGCTCCCCGTCACACAACTTTAAAAAGAAACAGTTTTATGTTTGCTTTCTAACTGTTCATTCACAACACACCACACTCATGAGTTCGGGACAGATTAAAGTAACTAAGCATAATACAGAGACTACAAGGAGGAAATAACCAAGTTACCAATAAAACAAACATGTTTACATTATACCAATTACCAATGTTATTGCAGTAGATGCACTGTAACAGAGGTTATAATGCTCCTGTACTGTACCAGCTGCACTACCAAATTTGGTCCTCCACTTGACAGGAGGCTCGAAGACTTCACCTACTCTTCTTCAAACTAGACCCCCCCCCCTCCCAAACAGACAGGAGATAGTAAAAGTGTAGCATGAGGAAGGACAGAAAGGAGACGAGGACCTGTACTCACTGGAGACATTTAAGACTCAAAGTCCAGTGGGAAGCTTTCTAGAAAAAGTCACTAATTAGAAAAACCTCCTACGCCAAAGTAAAGTTGTGTGTACCACTCATTGGTGTTCACCGCTGGGAATACAGTCACAGCAAAGAAATACATCTACTTTCAGTGGCAGCAAGAAGACATAAGACCTAGTTATTATTGTTTTGTATTTAACACCTTATCATTATCAAACATATGTTTATAATCTGTTTCACATGATTATGCGTTCTGACTTCATCGTCATAAAAAGCTAATTTCTCCTCGGAAGAATAACCCGATTACATTTCAATGTAAACTCTGTATTGATACAGTTATAAGTGTTTCTATGTATGTTACACTTTAATAATGTGGCTATGATTTATACGTTACCATAAGTTCAGAAATATGCTGTCTTTTCCCCAAAAACTTGCAGCTGTCTCAAATTGGGAGTGATCCTTCCTTTCATCGTACATCCCATGCTCTCTTTTGCTGGGAAAGAGTGGAAAGCCTCTGGGAAAGAGAGCTTTTTTCTCCCTTGTGAACAAAAGATTTTATCATATTTTCCCTAGAGTGAGGGACAAATGTCAGTCTGCATATACAAACACACAAGTTTGTCGTCTTTGTCCCCACCTTTCCTCCCTTAAACCAACAGTGGTCCTACTCCAATCAAACTCATAAATAGAAGTGTGGATTTACTACACAGCACATCATGTGGGGTCCAGTGAAACTTTATAGCCCTTAAGGGGGTTGTATATTGTTTCTCTCACTGTGCCTCGGTTCCCTGATGAGCTAGCACGTAGTTTGCAGCTTTCTAAGACCTTTCATGAGTTCATCGAGCCCTCAAGGGACTCCTCAACGTCTCTCATGAATGGAAACATTGAGATCAAACCTTAAAAAAACACAAACACATGACTGTGTGTATTCCATATCATTACTTTGTCCAATAAGGGAGCAATAACATTGGCAAGAATAGCACAGAGCGTGGACATGTGGAAGAGACAGCGAAAGACGGGCAGAGACTAATAGCTTTGGTGATGACAATAGACAGACTATCCTACACTCGAAAACACAGGAGAGGTAATCTGGCCATGTGGCCATCTGGAGCACAAATTATTTATCAGATTGAGTCTGTACCCTTTCTAAATGTTACATCCTGTCGTGCCGTCTTCTCCCCCCTCATCGCAGGAACACATTAATGGTGAACACTGCCCACAGACTGGTTTAGAAAGAGGACAGGGGTGGCCAGTCTCGCATAATACACATTCAAGTTACATACAGCCAGAAAGAATGAATGCGGGGAAGAGAAATAAAGTCCTAGGGAAAGGGCACTCTTATTTCCTCCGCACAGGATGTGGTTGCTACAAGGGTCAAGGCCATCACTTCGGCGACAGATTAAGACACTCTTGTCGAATAAGGAATTGCACGGTGAAAGAAAAGCAAGCAAAAAGAAGCAAAGAATACTAACTGTTGCATCAGTGAAGTGCCGATGGAAATAAAAACGAGGGGACTTGTGATTTGTAATGAAGCCTTGCCGTACTCTGGAGACAAAACAATGTTTGAATGGCTGAAGCTAAAAAAAAATCTTTGTCCTGCCTGTCCAGTTACGTAAAGCAACCCTTTGTGACATTCAGCGCTCAGAAACGTTTGAAACTAAAATAGCGCTGCTGCTCAGCACTATTCGTGCTCAATGGCTGCCAATAAAAGTGTATTTGTGTTAACAAGGCAACCCTTAATTCAGCAGTAGCCAACTTCCACTATATGAAGATAAAGGAAACACAACTCTGGCAGTCTGTAGCCTGTGCTCACTCAACACAAAATCTTTATCAGCAAGAATCTTAGCTATAATAGACAGCTGATTTGTTAATAGAGCTAGCTATAGCTGAACAATAGCTACAATTAAAGCAACATGACATCAAATGTTCATAGATAATACAATTAGAATGCACCAAAAACCACCTTATATCAATGGGCCAATGAAATTGCTTGTTTAAGTCGGCCAATCAGATGGTTGTTTCAGTTGCCCAATACGATGGCTCTTTTCAAACACCGGATCTGATTCCTTGTTATAATTGACCAATCCGAAATGGCTTGTCTCAATCGGCCAATCAAATGGCCCAATGGTGTTTCTTCCAGTTTTGCCTCTAACTTTAATTTAGGTAAAACTAAAAGAAAATTAAATACAAAACTACATTGCGAGTAAGTCATTTTAAATGTCCACTACTTGTGCAGCAGCTGCAGTTAAAGGCCAGAGTCACTAGAAGCCATGTTGGGTAATAAGATAAATGCAGTTTATGAATACAAAACAATACAGTGACGCAAAAATGTGTCAAAAAAACACACGTGGCCTTAATCAAGTTAAAGTTAGCCAAGAAAATAAAATGTTATGGAACAGTTTGGGCCCCTAACCTGTATTGCATAACTGCTTTACTAACTCAGCACTACCATTATTTCAGAAACCGTCAAAGGGGATGAACAAGATCAGGAATCAGCTGTGTGTGTGTTTAAATCTGTGCAAAGTGTACGTCATAACACTGGTGATGTTTACAGAACTGATGAACAATGTTCTCCGTACATTTCCCGCAGTCACTAAAAGCATCCGAGTGTTGAGAGACAGCCACGTATTCATCCTTCTTTATAGTTTACATGAAAAGCATGTCGGCGACTTATCAGAGGAAATAAATGGGAAAAAAGTAAATAATAAAAACTTGAAAAGAACGTTAAGGTGCCAAAGCTCGCACGCTCAATGCAATAGGCGTAATGTGACTTGCATGCACGCACTTGGGAGACTGCCTTGGGAATAAACAAAGCTAAATGCTTTTAACCTTACCTGCCACCTCCACGATGTCCCCGGGCATAATGTCCCTGGCTTTGATTCTCTGGACACTTTTTCTGTCCTGACGGTACACCTTCCCCATCTCTGGCTCATACTCCTTAAGGGCTTCAATGGCATTTTCTGCATTTCGCTCCTGAAGAGTGGAAATAAGAGGGAACAAAAGTTAACAAGTTCATTTCACACAGACACCAAGTATTTCCCGGGAACTGGATGAAAGGGGAGTTAGAGACCAAGTGACGTCTCAGACATGCTGTTTCAGTTAGAGCAGCATTATTCAAATTGATTGATAAGTGTCTAATCTTTGCATAAGCAAAAAAACACAGTAAAAAATCAAACCAAGCGCACATGACAAGTGGTATAGGCTAGATGGCGGGAGAATAATGTAAACACTGGAACTACATGTTGTAAAAGGCTGAAGACGAAAAAAACAAACAAGAAAGCTTTTGCCTTGGTCACATGGTTATCTTTTCAAATGTGACAATACATTTTCGAGTAACCCAATCAATGGCGATGTTCCAAACCCAAAATGTACTGTATATACAAGTGCCCGAAGACTACAGTGACATCTTGCTTCTGTTTTGTCGTAATGCTCTCTTATTGCCTATTCAGTTCGTTCTTGATCATTCTTCACTTGCACTTTTGTGTTAGTGCTGACTTCACGGTGTCTGACAGCTCGCTCAGAGTGGACAGCTCCCAGCCACGCTGGCAGGCAGCACTCAACGAGACACGGCAAGACAAGCACACAACCTCGGGACATTAAGGCTTTTTTTAACTGAATAGCAACAGGGACACGCAGTTACTAAGATGGCTGCTGGTAAAGGTTAATGCTACAAGGTTAAAAAGAAGCTTAGAAAATAAATGGAATCACAAAACATCAACTGCTTTGAATAGGTGGAGCCATATGAATAACAGCAGGAGCAGAGCTCGCCTCCTCCACTTCTACATCATTTACAAAGGCTTTGCTTTACATAAACAAAGTCAAACAACCAGCCACTTACTGCAACAGCTCGCCATTTACTAAAGCCTCAGCAGGACCTTAGGTGAGCGATTCATTTACAAGACAATCCAGCAGAAACCCACCCAACCTGCCAGCCATCTACTTTTACCGTGGTGTAATTAAAAATACATGTGGATTGATTTTGGTCCATTTTGAAACCTCAAAAACATTTAAATGGGAGATGCAAGGTCTTTATTAACTGTATTAAACTAATGTGTAACAAGCAAGAATCTAGTGAATAATATGATGCATATTAAATGATCTGTTCAGTTAAGAATGCAGGATATACTCCTGAAGACGTCTAAAAGATATTGCCTTATGGGTGGAAAAAAAGGCCAGGTGAAAAAGAAATGGCTACTAAAGAGATATCATTTCATAATTGTTATAATTAGCTTGACTAATTAATGGCCGATTAAAAAGCATGTCAATTAAATATATGCTTAACTGTTTCGGGGGTGCATTCAAAGGCATTCGGTGTGTGTATCCATCATAACTGACTTCAGGGAAAAATGACAGATTCTGGGCAATTCTGCCTTTGATTGAAAAGGTGTCATGAAAAAGAAAGGATAATTGATTTGCTTTTCTGCGTGTTGTGATGAATGCCTATATACAAAGCTGATGCTGGGTTTGCTTCCTGCCTATAATTAAGGTGCATTTGAAAAGATCAATAATGCTTCTCATAGAAACCGACACCGTAAATCCTGGGGGAAAGCTAAGACTGTGCAGGCACGTAATAAACAGAGGCATTCAAATAACCACTTACAAGCACAAAGGAAAAACAATTGCATTTGTTGTCTTGATTCACCCTCAACATAATGTGACCCTGCATAGTCAAAGGGCGTGAGATACGGTTCCCCTAAAAGGATAGGTTAATGAATGTGGACGAGAATATACCAAGTGAGGAGGAAGTGGAGCAGGCCAGGTTTCACGTGTGACTGAGACAAGAAGAGGTGTTTCAGATTAGAGTGTTCTTACACGGAGGGGATGTGCGCTGTATCCTTGGCCTGAATGGGAAATGTTACATGTCCAATGTCTTTATTAAAACCTTATTATAGACTTTCCAAAAAACATAGTTTGTGTCCCATATTTTGAGGCATACATTTCTGAGTATTCATAAAAATAAATAAACATTTTATTCTAGAAGTGATGCTTTGAAAGACCCCGAATGACGTAAATGTAACATGTTTACCTGCCAGACTCCTACGATGGCGTTTGCTATGAGAATGAGCAGGATAACAAAAGGCTCCACGAAGGCTGTAACGGTTGATTCTCCCTCTTCGAACCAAGCCAGCACCTACACACAGAAGAGAGAAAAATGAATGGACATTGTCGGCATACATTCAATAAGTAATCATAGTCGAGTGTGAGATACTGAGCCTATTGAAATCAGGATGGGATACGATTAGATGCACCCCAAAGAACACAAATAACTAAACACTCATTCTGGAACTTCCACTTAATGTCTTTTTCATGCACCTTCCTAGTAATTCAAGTTGTGCCAGGACCAACATTTGACTTTAAAAGATTAAGGATAATTCTTTTTAAGTATCCAAAAATCATTTAATAATTCATAGTAAATACAAAGCCAGTATCTTCCAGAATTGTAGGAACTGGGCCAAGTGTGTTACAAAGTCATTGGAGAGAAAGTGAGTGTAGTAACCACTTTGTCCTCTTTTAGAATCTGTGCCAGGAAGTGAAGTGTGTCAAACGAAATGCCAATGCCCCCCGTTTCCTGCTTCAAGCTATTTAAGCATGGCCAATCAAATGTCCAATTAATACAAAGGAAAAAAAGAAAGGTGCACATCTTTGTATATTTCTCTGTTGTCTAGATTCTGTCATGCTGATAGAAATGTCTGCGGACTGTGTGCTGGTGTGATTGAACGCTACTACAACAGCTGGTGATTTATGAGCTTTGTGAGCGTTGCTGGCCGTCATCACCATGGCTTTGTGAGTGATGTTCTTAGCCGATACGCAAGGAATACATCCTAGGAGAAACAGGACCACGGGATAGTATACCGTGTCACACATAAACAACAGTAGGAATTGCTTATCACTCGTGACATCAAAATAAGTCTGGTTTAAGAAATGTATTCACAATAAGAATATAAAAAATGGACATCAAAATGTCCAGTTTTAATATCAGGTGTCTGCCACTTGTACTCTTTAACAGCATGCTGCTATTCCCAACAATGTGACACATAATAAAGTGAAATAGCCATTAGTTGCCAGATTAACAACATGTCAGCATTTATTTTTAACTATAGACCACTTGGCTATTGAGGTTTTAACATAATCTGTTTGAAAGCAAGACTCAAAGTGAATCTAACGACTTGTGATTTACTTTGAGACCAAAAGCAGAGCTAACATACTGTATCATTCTAGAAGACAGAATCATGAAAATAAATGGTCATCTGGGTTGTGTCCCTAGACAGATTCTGGGCGCCTTTCGTCTCCACTTTGGAGAGGAAAGGCACTACACTGAATCAGAGAAGGTCTATGTGCACACTTTGTAGGATGATAGAGCTGTGCTAAGAAGAAAAAGCACTGAACTCATCACTAAAAAGAGTAACTAGAAGGAATGTGGTGGAGATGAACACAGACAATGTTTTACTTGTTCATTTTCTCTCCGAAACACAAACTAATCTGTGTTTTGAAGGAAAGGAGCATGCTTTGATATATATATATATGAAGATTTGAGAATGGATTATTCAGTCACTACTCTAGTACCCAACATCTTTATAGACAACTTTATCTCAAGTTGAGTGGATGACGCATCTCTTTACAACGAGTGACACAATCTGATCACAGACTTTTATTACTAGTATCTAGATACTAAACAAGGCAGATCACCTGGCTATGCAAAAATGAAATGGGAGTTTCATAAAGACAGATCCATCAGGTCCAGACTGGTTTAATGAACTCTCCACAAACCACCTCTACAACTAACAAAACAAGTGTGTTATACTTACAAATGATATGCAGGCGGCGAGTAAAAGGATCCTCACAAGCAAATCTTCAAACTGTTCAACCACTAGTTCCCAAAGGGATTTACCTAGAAGACAAACATTTAATTTAATAACTGGAATTTAAATGAAAGTTTCCATTTAATTGAAATAGTATATGAATGATGGATTGTAAACATATACAGGCGGCTTCCACTTACCCTCCTCCGCTGGCAATTCTGCATACCATCCCATTCAGACCGCAGGCAAAAGAGATGGACAATGGGTTATTTAAATTAATAATCATTTAAAACAATAGCACATTACTGTAGCAGTAATACACATAGTTAATATAATAAAAGGACGATGAATTGTTTACTAAGACACATCACTGATGCTCGCCGGTATTACAACATAGAGTGCATGACGTCGACAACCTTCCGTTTGGTTCAACCGTTACAAATCGGGCCATCATGACACCGGCATAACACAAAAAGCTAACGTTACTTGTTTTTTGAAAAAATAATTTGTTTACAAGATCCTTACCGTTTGGTCCATAACGTTCCCGTTGTTTCCTAACTTGCTCTAAACTCAGACCTGTGCTTTCATTCACGTTAAAAAAGCTGTAAACTTCTTCAACCGTCTTTGTGTGTGTGTTGTCCATGGTGAACGACCACTTGAGGACACGGCTTGTATTGCTGGTCCCTGCTGGTCCCAGCTTCAACCTGTCACGGTTCTCTCCTCCTTTAGTGTGACCTCGGGACTTAAAACAAAAAAAATACTTGATGAAAATAGGAGCGAGGATCCCACGGTGTTGACCGTCACGGAATAATTAGCTTCAACGCGGGACAGCTTGGCGTGCAGGTGTCTGGCGAGTTGACGAGATAGCGGCTTCTGAGCTAACGGATAGCTAACAGGCTAAAGCTAGCTAATGTTAACCGTTCGGCTCCGCTTGAATTCGCCGGCTGTAGTCCGCTATGTTTCCTGCGAGACCTTAAGTGAACAATTCATAGTAAACGTCACAGCCTCAATTGGATATTTAAATATATTACTCTTCTTCTGAAACAGCAAATACCGGTACAATTCGGTCCAAATAGACGGCTTAAACATGTGGCTCTGTTGCAGCTCGCTTTGCCTGTGTTGCGGAATCACCGACGTCGCTATCGGCACCAATCGGGATTGTCCGCTGCAGCTCTCGCGTTTGTCGAATGCGGTGTTCGGTGTCCGCATGTGGAATCAGCTGATTGGTTGGACACACCGGAAGTCCTTCTCTCTCTCTCTCTCTCTCTCTACTCTCTCTCTCTCTCTCTCTCTCTCACTTTCAACGTGGGCTGTGCTTTTTTTAATTAAAGGGCATTTCCCCTAGACTAGAGGACACTGAAACTCATTCCAACCTTTTTCATTAGATTGATCCAGTTGCAGAATTCCTGATGTATTAGTTAGTATGGGGTAATAATTATATATAAATGTTGCAAGGAGGGAAATAGTTACAACAATGTATTTTAGTAGAAAGAACAATTTTTAGGAAAATATCCTGTTTTACACGTGTGTAATGTATCTCATGTCTTGAGTAAGGAATACACCCACTTTTCTATGCTAAAATGTCCTGCTATCTAAGTGAGCTTCTTATTTTTTATCCGTTTCCCATACTGTAAAACACTCATCAATCTTATGTTCTGTTTTGATTGAGAGTGGTGGGTAAATAAGGATAAGGTTGGTTTAAGTGATCCCCTTAGAAATGCTTCCAGCACCAACCCTGATAATATACATCAGTTTGGTTATCTCATATTTGTCAGAGTTGACTGAGAAGAATCCCATTATTTGACAGGCTGACAGAGCAGCAGTGTCAGTGATATAACACAGTACACTATCAATTGGTATGTGGACATTTATCATGTCAGAAAGAATGTATCTTTTAAAGCCATCGTAAAAATGGTCAGTGACACGTCTAACCTTTTGCATGGGACATTTCTATGGTTTTGACATAATAGACAACCTATACATTGAAATCCATAGCCATTAGTTGGATATCCTCATACAGGACAAACAAAGAGAATCCTTTCACAGTTAAAATCCCCTAAAGAAAATGAGATAACTCCTGTGTGAGATGGTGTCTTTCTTTTGCAGCCTATCTGCTTTCTCAGGAAGACAAGTTATTTTAAGACACTGTGATTAATGTGTGATGTGACAATCAGACTTCTGCTCAATGACAAGGAAAGACTGAATCTGTGCAGCTATGGTGACAGTTGGGCTAGCCTGATAAAAACAAAACATCTCTGCAACCATTCAGACACATAAAGCCTGTGATGAAAATAAAAAAGCACACATTCAGATCCAGTCTGTGATAGATTGTTCAGTTAACATTACTTCCGTCTTCCAATGACTTACTCAAAAACAAATGCTGTCTTAGAAGCCCATTTCCAGATTTGTTTTTGGACTACCTTAATCAGTTATGCTTTGATAACAAGAACCGTGCTCAGTAGGAAAGTTAAAGATGATGAAATGATGTTTTATGATTTTCTTTCCAAACCTGAAATGATCAAATATAACCAAAAAAGCCGGTCAGATAAATGCATATTTCATATCTCAACACCTTGATATATTTTTGGAAGCGCACAACTGAAATGTATATATCTAACATTCCGCTAAATGTTAAACAGGACAGTTATTCCTCGGACTCCAATATCTAATTTCTAGTTTGTTGCCTTATTACAATTAAAAAACAAGAACAACACACATGCCACTTTTGAGCCTGAATACAAAAATCATTCAGCAGAGATGAAGCTTGAGTCAAAACTAATCAGCTCTAGTTGAAATAAAAAATAAGTGTCAACAGGGATTTATTTTCTCCCTATACGACTTGATACATATGCAGCATATTCTATTATTTGCTCATCTGCAAATAAAATCACACCATTCTCTTTCCACATTTGGCAAATACATTTTTGTTTTGTTCCACAGCTTATATAACTCAGCCAACAGAGCAACAGTATCAGCAGCTGTGGATTTCTTAGCTGACAGTGAGGATGTTTTTTAATTCATTATTTTGTGGTATATGTGTGGGCAGTGCAGAGAGAGTGAGTTGCAGTCCAATCTGATAAAGGTTCTGCTGTGGATGTTTATGTGCTAGCAAAGTCTGTGGCCAAAAGGTTGTGCGGGAAGGTTCAGGTTTGTTTGGACAGCTTGTTTAATTGCTCACTGTGAAGCCAGTTCATTCTCTTTGGAGATCGGATGATTTCTCTGCAAGTCTATACTTCTTTCTTTTCGACATCAAAGGAGAAATGTTAGGACACAGAGGTTAAAAACAACACAGGCTTTGTTTATGACTAGCTCCAGGGGGTAGATGCACATTTCTGCTAGTTTGATAAGACACCACTGACCTTTCACCCAAGGTTTTCTAGGTCATCAACAAAATATATGGTTATTTACTGAAAAGAAAATGTTTGTTTATATATCCACTACGTTGAGATACTCTTTTAATTTTAACATGTGGGTTACTTAAGGACATTTAAGGGTATAACATTTACAATTACCATTGCCAACTGAAAGAGATTCTTGCTACGCTCAATGATTTCATGGCTTCTAATTTTGGGCACTTATTATCCATGCCACTGTTTGCTACTGTCATGGTAGGCTATGTAAAGCGATGCTAATTTCACAAAAATACTCTGAGCTGTTTTTATCCTGGAAAACTGTATCTTCTGAATTACAAGTCTTCACCAAATGTCATATCCCGTGTGGCAACCGGAGCCCTTTTCCATCTCATGCCTATGTTTGGCTTTTCAGCACAAAATTACTCGATCACCTTATATAAGTGCATGTGCACATCCCAGAATTAAATGGTTAAACGTTTAGTCTCTTGGTACCCAGCATCCCTTGTTGTTGTGTCCTTGAGAAATAAATAAATGCCTCTTTGCTCTGGAAGTGCGGTACCTCTACCTGCCACTGTAGACTTTGACTTTGGTGTTTGCTCACATGCACTAAGGTTACATGAGTCACAGCACACCATGATGAGTGGCTACTGTAAATTATATAGTAAGGCTTTTCGTGGACTAAAATCGATGAAGAAAGGCTTATGTTGTTTATCTTGTAGTATTCATCATGACATATGCTTGTTTGAATTGTATGAAGATCCAGTGGAGGAGAAGTCTTTATAAGCGTGACTCTAGAAACAGGCAGTCAGGCTATTCAACAACACATTTAGTATAACCTTAAATACCATAAATTGTTTACCTTGTACAAAAGATTATTTATTATAACGCTCAGTGGCTATTTAGTAGTCCTTGAAACCCACCTGAGGAGAAATCTCATTCAGTCTTTGACATATGACTATGACATTCACATTAGATTGCAAACCATTACCGAAAACACGTTTACCGAAAACATGTTTAGTCCCATTACCGTTTGAAGATATTCCAAAGCAGCTGGATGACTCCTCTATTCATGTGATTTTGCCGCACTCAAGTGGTCAGTTATATTATTACATATGTTTGCAATCCATACATTCTCTGTTAAGTGTTTTTGGTGAAAATCTAGTGAATGTGGTGTAGGGCTACGTAGTCTAGTCATTGATGTTATTTGTCTACTCAATGTAAACACATGAGAACATCAGTCATTTAGTATCAGGCTAAACTGACTTCAAATAGCAGTTTTGTGAGAGTTGGCTTTATGCTGAGTTTAAAATAAAATACACAAGGACCAGACTGCAATAAAAGTGGATGCATGTTTTCCTCTTTTCAACAGAGAGGCTATATCAAGGATGTATTATGACTTATTTCCATTGGTTTTACAAGTACTACTATGACGTATGCAAAAGTGAGAACAGGACGAGTCTCGCGATAGTTACACGAGGGGTCAAAGTTGACATTGGCCATGTGTGTAATGTTGCCGCATCTACTACAGGACTGTTAGATACAGCTACACTTCATGAGTAAATATTTATGATAATAGGCATAACAGTTATAGTTAGACGGCTTATTTACGTTTTAGGAGACAGTATTGTTCGTCAGCGGAAGTTATATCCGAACATTTTGTGCATGCTGATCGGTAACTTCCGTAATCCGGCTGTGATGCCAGTTTGCATCAGGTTTGCATCCTTTAGCTGCTTTAGAGTTTAGCAGGACATGTTTAAAACCCGACAACTATTAAGTGCCTTATTCAATCACAGACTGACGCTAGAGAGAAACGGTGAGTTAACTTAACAAAGACCATGTGAGTGAATGTGTTGTGCCTGCAGTCATAGTTCACGTGGTGTTTTTAAATGCCCCTTTTGTTCGCAATAGTAACCCTTTTGCAAATTCATCGTCCGTCACTTACATAAGCTAACAAGACTTCATCTAATTTAACTGAATGTGCTTTTACTGAAGTGGTGTTATTGCTACACTTAATCATGTAATATATCGTGCTTTCCTCACAGGTGGCCTTTGTAAGTTATTTTGCATGATGAGTGAAGCAACCATAGATGAGCAGCAGACAGCCAAGCAGCTGAAAAGAGCCAATGAAGAAAATGAAGACTCTGCTGAGAAGCTGCAGGCTACAAAAAAATTAAAAGCGGAAGATGAAAAGAAATATCCCAAAAAGAAAGTTGTCCTCCTCCTGGCATACTCCGGGAAGGGATACTATGGCATGCAGGTACAGTAGCTTGTGCTTGTATATCTTGTTCTATTTACTTTTTAATTGCCATAACTACACTATAGCTACTCGGCATATGACAATAAAGCGTTTGAATCTTGTTTTGATCTCTATTCTCCAAGTACAATTCTATTAACTTTTGCCAAATATGAATTGTTTTCTGTGTTTCAGAGAAATCCTACAGCTACTCAGTTTAGGACCATTGAAGATGAGCTGGTCACCTCACTTGTTAAATCAGGTTGCATTCCTGAAAACCATGGCGATGACATGAAGAAGATGTCTTTCCAAAGATGTGCCAGAACAGATAAGGTAGATATCATGGCAGGAGTTAATGTAATATAACTAGGCCAAAAAGGCACATTTTACGAAAACATTTAAGATATCCACTGTATTGTTCTCCCTCTCATTGTTGTCAGGTATGTTGTTTTAAATATGCAAAAAATGCCAACTATTTTGTTTTGTTTTTTCAACCGTTAAAATGTCGAAATGTCTTGCTTTTCTCAGTTTTATACTATATTTGATAAAGCAAATAATCAGTACAATCATACATTACTGGTCTTTTATTATGAAACCTGAGCCAAGTTGTTTATTTTAATCTGTT